ATATTTATATATATAAAGAGACCAAATAGGAGACTACATTTTTTACTGTCAATATGTTTAACATCGCATACTGTAGTTGTATAAAACATGCATTTTCTGGGATAATTATGAACACATCATGAATGAGCCCACATAAATTATATTTTTTTTACAACTCCCAAGTTTAAAAAAAAAAAATAGTCAGATTAAGTGCCTCTGAGGCCCTTTCTTCCCAGCTATCAGTTCTCAAAACACACTACTGAAATATTTATCTATGCCTACAGCTATGTGCTAGAGAACCAGATTTTAAAATTTTAAAATACATCTACAGTATGTTTTAGTTTTCTTAAAAGTTTGCGACAGTCCTCAGATATTGTGTTGTGAAATGTAAAAATAGTCACAGACTCTTTTTCTTCCAGAAATAAAAAACACATCTAGGAGAGTATGCAAAAACAAGGCAAAATGAGTTTCATAGCACTTAATGAGGGTTAATATAAGTCAATAACTAATATTGAGGTTTGTAACAAGGGCTGGATGAGCAGTTACATGCACAAGCAAATGGTCTAGTAATGCCAATGTATCAGAGATTGTTTCTGTAACCAACACTTCTCCACCCTTAAAACCAGTCAATATACATTCAAAATAGGCTGACATTGATATACTTACTAAGTGTAAAAATAGTGCACTATTTTTTCTGCCACAAAGCAAAATTGCATCCTAAGAGCTGGTAAACCTTCCTTTTTTCCTTAAATAGAGAGAATGGGCAAAAAACTTGAGAAAAAAATTAAATTAAGGCAATTAGACAGGAAAAACAGGACTGCCCATGATGATGTAGCTGAAGCTAGTATACACTTCAAACTTAGGCTAGCTGCTGAACACTGACATGCAGCTTTTGATAGACGTGTATGAATGATAGAACTTCAACATTATGGCTTTATACAAGTGCATAGTTGCAACTGCAGTAAGTAACGGTATCTGATTAATAAGCATAAAAAAATAAAGTGGAAAGATTTTTAAAACCCTCTTGCAGTATTACAGTACAATATATATACACAGTATAATGGTCACTTCTTACAGATGCAGTCTATATCACCGTGGTGGATCTTCCTCCTGTTCTTCTTGTGGGCATGCTGGTGGCATCTTTACAAAAGCTGAAAAGTCAGTTTCTTCCATTTTAATATTCATTCCTCTTGATCCTTTTATGAAATGTAGTGTGTGTGTCTTGCCAAGGAAGCTTTTGTGGAACAGAGTTTCAAAGGTTACCTAACATATCCTTTTACTATTTACCAACCATTCCTCATTTGATCAGTCACTCAGGAGAATGCAGGAAAACCCTCAGAGATTAGTTAGTAATTTATATTGCAGCAAAAATGTAAACCTCTGATATATATAGCACAATCTCTCAGGAAAAAATATATTTTTAATATATTTTGGGATATGTTTCAGTCTTGCTGTAACGGGAAGGAAATTATCACCTTGAATCGTATCTGCATTCATGGAAAGCAGTTAGCTGAAAAAGAAGCAAGAAGTTTGGTCAGTAAATGTAACACACATAAATCTGACAAAAATATACTTCCTCAAAGTCTTCATTTAAGACAGGCTCGTCAGCACACTTGGGAGAAACATCACTCCTCTGGCTTTCAACAGCATCCTTACTCAAGTATAGCACATCCTTACACAGTATGACCTCAAATCAATTAACCCCCCTGTAATATAGGAGGGCAAAGTACAATATGCACAGGAAAGAGTCACTTCTAAAAGATTAGTATTTTGTAAGCTTTTAATCCATGAAGATGCAGCATATTTAATTAATGTAATGCTTGTTACTGTAAACACTGAGCCAGTTAAATTCTCAGGTAACTGAGTACACTGCTGAGGTACAGCCCTAGTGCTGCTGCCACCACCCCTTCTTTTATAAGGCTGAGACACCTTATGTACTATTTAAAAGAATTACTGGGAATTTGACATTTAGGGATTTTTTTTTTTTTTTCTGTGTAAACATAACATTACATCAACTTGTAAAATAATTAAACGTTGGGAACTATAAAATAGTTTTCACTTTATTTCCAGTACATTCACATGGCATATTTAAGTAAGCCACTGGACAAATTAGATGAATAAAACTGCCTTATCTTTTCTAAAGCAGTCAAGGAATCCTATCACAGAAGCTGCAAAACCTATTTGTTTACATAGTTTTCAAATGCATGGTTAGGTACCCAAAAAGCACAGCACTGCAAAGGAAAGCCAAGTCAAATTCACTTCATAACACAGGTAGAAAAGCAAAATGCAGAACTCCAGTGATTTCATGTCTGCTAGCCATAGACCAGTCAGTTTATGTTAAAAGCTTAAAAATGAAGAGTATTTGTAAATACCAATTCTATGTCAGCTAAACATCCAGCTGCTACAATCTCCCTTTTAGCCTTCAGCTTTATCTGCAGAGGTTAGCAGTATTAGCACTATACATGATCAACTACTCTGACAACAGCAGGCATTTTTTTTCAGGCGGGCAGACATGAATTTTGAAAAAAGATCTAAAATTAGAAAAAATAAAAACACTGAAAAGGCCACAATTTCATTTTAATGAAAATGACTCCTCTAAAAATTCATTGACATTATGAACAGAATCTCATTTTTACTGTTTAAAAATATTAAAATGAGATCTTTTGGGTTTTTTTTTTTGCTTTGAGAAACAAAATCCAACATAGCATGCTGTAACCAAAGGCAAACAAATCCATTCCTCTCTGTTTAGATTTACCCCTTATACTTCTTCAGAAATCAAAAACATCGTCATCATCATCACCATCAATATCATCAACATCATCAAACGACCAATCCCAGTCCTTAAATGCCAGATCAAGTAATCTGCAACAGGAGGGTTTGATGTTTAATGTGTGTCACACTTCTATAAAAGACTTCAAAATTCCATTTGTTATCACTAAACGTTTTAAAGTAAAAGACTGTGTTAGGGTAGGCAGGTTCCTTCCTTCGCCTATCACGGAATGTAAAGGTTCAGTCAGTGCTCATGTAAGCCAGGAATATGGTATTCATTGGAAATTCATCCGACGGATCAGTCAGTTCTACAGAACACTTGCCACACTGATTTTTTTCCCCCAAAACTTTCAGTAGAAAAGACCAGTACGTACATTTCATAAAATTAGCCACCGTTTTGTTGCTGTTCTTATTGACTGAGGCAAAGTTTTATGCTCTCCTGCTCTCCCTTTCCAGACGGTGAAGCAAGGCTAACAATTTTTCCAATGAAATCAAATAAATTTTGATTGCGGAACAGAACACGAAATAAAATAGTGTCATCTGATTTTACAGATACAGCAGGATTCTACTACATCCCAGGCACAGTGGGATTACACGATACAGCCTTCCTGCAGCTCCGTGTCAAGCTGAGCAATGCCAGAGGAGAGGAGAGGGAGCGAGTGGTTCTCGCGGTGTCACTGCCCGCACTCCTTCTACGGGCACTACAGGAGAGGAGAGCGAGCGAGCAAACCTTGTCAGCAAATGAGTCATTGACCTATTTTAGGCATTTACTTGGGGATGGGATGAATCATTGTCTGGAAGCACTCATCTCTTTCTCTTGTTATCGAAGGATCTTAGACAAACATCTGAAGTAGTAACTTCTCACTTGCTATAGCTACAAGAAGTGGAGCACAATCTAGTCATCTCTCCAGTGAGCCCAAGGGGTTTTAAATGGGGATTATATGCCGACCATAGGAGGCAGAGAGAGAAACCTCACCCTAACAGAGCCTTCAGAGTTTTAGCTAGAACATGCTACAGTGTTTCATAATCACATGCTTTAAACAAAATGGGTTTCAGGTTTTTTTTGTTTTGTTTTGTTTTCAGGTTTTTAACTTTTTACACTTTTAAATGGGATGTATCCCTGAAAAGGCTCAATTTGCTATATGAACTATGGGCACTGTAATTTCTAAAATACTTAAAGAATTTTTTAGGCATTATTAAATTTGTTTTTTTTTTCCAACTTGGAATTATCCTTTTGGGACAATCCAACTGAATGGATAAGCAGAAGTTGTATGGTCTGTATCAAGAACTGGTTTGCCCTTTCTTCAATCACCATGAAGGACAAGAGCCATGAAAACCAACTACTGTGCAAAACTCCTAGGAGGGACAGCATGTACAGAACCATGCAGGTTGGAAGGAACCTCAGGAGGTCTCTTAGCCCAACTTGTCCTGTCAGGTCTTGAAAGCCTCCAGGGATGGAGCCTGTCCAGCCTCACCAGTGGGCTTCCCTGCCTGGCTGTCTGCACTGGATTTGCCTTCTAACCAGCTGGAGTGTCTCTTGGTTCAGCTGAGTCCCTTGTTTCTCAGCCTCCCCACATGCAGCACTCAAGAGCCTGGCTCTGTTTCCTTGATACTCTCCCCACAGGCAGGGGCAGGCTGCTATGATACCCCCTGGAGATATCTTCCATCCAGGCTGAACAAGCCCAGCTCCCTCAAGCTTCTGCTCACACTATCCTGGTGGCATCCTCTGGACTTTCCCCAGTTTGTCAATGTCTGGCTTGAATTTGGGGGCCCAAACGTGGAGGCAGTATCTCGCTGCAGACTAGGGAGTGAACAGAGGGGCATAATCTCTTCCCTCATCTGGCTGTGCTGCTGTTGGTGCAGTCCCAGAGCCTACCTTGCTGCCAGGGCCCACTGCTGGCTCATCTCCAGCTTGTCCCCAGCCACCCAGTCCTCAGATTTAACTGGCAACTACATCTTCAGTCTTAATAAAGTTTGTAACAGAAGATCAATTATTGCGTATGGTAAGCTGCTGCACAAAAGCCTCATAGAAGCACCAGTCAGATATAAATTGGTCACAGCAATTACAGTAATTTATAAGCATGTGGTTTCTAATTGAAAGTGTTTAAAACCACATGGAATTCCACTGTTTTGACAGATCTGCATTAGTAAGGTGGTAGGTGACATGACCTCACAGAACTATATTTTCCATCTGTTACGTAAATTTCCAAAGCTAACTTGGAAAATTTAACTAATAAAAAGGTTTACACACAAAAATATTCATCCTCCTCCTTTTCCCACCACTACTAAATATACAGACAGAAAAAAACCCCTAAACATTCAAGACTGATTCGTAGTGGAGAGGGAGCACATCTACAAAGAACAGCATGAGTAAATACTGTGTTATGAAAGCATTTTGTAAAAAAAGGTCATGAATGGTGAAAGAAGGGTGTTAGAAGGACAAAAATTATTTGCAGAGCACCTAAGAATAGCTGTGGAAAAAGAATCAGAATTTATAATGTACCCTTTCTATGTCAACAGTAAGACAAATTAGAATTTGATCTGAATTAGCTTGTGAACACTATATAGAAGAAAAGCATTCTGCTTGTCCCAAAGGTTGTCACAAATGTTTCCTTCATTCATGCTTCAACCCAATCCCTGATATTTTGATTAGTTTTCAATAACCGGTCCCTAACAAGCAGTGATTAAAAAACTTTTTACCTTCATGGTTATAATAAACAAAAAGAAAAATCTAATAATTTTAAATCCTAATTATGACATCTGAGTTTCTTTCAAATATGTCAAGTAAATCACCAAAAATTAGATTGTATGGAAGTTAGGAGGGAAGTGAAATTCAGTTACTTTGAGTCCTTTTACTAAACACGTCCGCATAGTAAAGTACCAGTATTTCTTTAAAGATGTAACCCCTCACAGGATAATGCTGTGTTGTGATAACAGCAGTATCACAGTAAGTACCACCTGCAGAACCTTACCACTTCCAACATACAACACAGGATTTTGCTCCTTAAAAAAGATCCACTAACAGATAAGTGGATCTGTTTCCTGTATTACTGCATCTGTACTTTGTGTTACTGGACTGTATTTTGTATGGAAATTTTTTCCCAAATCAGAGGAACTTGTTAAGGCTATTCATTTAGGAGTCATGAGACACAAGCATGAGTCCTTCTAAACTGGATAAGGAATTGAAACTAATTCTCCAATGCTTTGGAACATTCTCCAGCTACTTGAGCAAACGGTGAACCTCACCTCCCACCTTCCTGCTCTCTTTCAGAAAGCACAAGTGATGCTCAGCCACGTGCCTGCCACTGCAGCAGCGGACTCCACGCTGTGGAACCCCCAGGGACACAGCTGCAAATGTGAGATTCATATGAACTAGCTTTTCTCTGTAGATGTCAAAGAACATGATGTATGTTCTTTTTCTACACTAGGAGGACATGTGTCCTGAAAACGACTCTTTCTAAGCATCAACTGTAAATGGAGTCAGACAGAGAGAAGTATGTTTGGGCAGATGAAACACACATTAACATACAAAACTGCAATCAGGTGTCTAGGCTTAGAGAAGGGCAGGAATTCAAACATATGCTTCAAAACCAAGCAATAAGAAACAAAAGAAACGTAGTCTTCTGCTACATGTAAGAAGGCTTTCTAAACTGCTTTTTTTTGAAGGCACTAATTCTCTCCAAGGTTTATTAGAACCACAAGCACCTAACTTCATTGCTTACCTTCAAATCAGGTACAGTAATGGCCATCTGGAAAACTGTTAAACTTTCTTTAGTCTTCACACCCCTCTCACTGAATCTTTGCCTAGTTAACCCCTGCTTTCCCCATCAGATGCCAGTTCACAGGTACTATTAGGCTACAGACAATGCTACAAGTTCTGCCTGTTACACACAGGGACAACAGGATACATCACCATTATGGCTGGGGTAAATAACAAGTAATGAAAGAAAGAGTGGCTCTCATAATTCATCTGAGGTTTATAGAAGATGACCTTCTAAATCACATGTCAGCAGTCAACAACATTTGTGGTCAATTACCCGTATCAACATACACGACATGAATTGCAGTAAAACGTTTAAAACAATAAATAGCAGCTCTTGAGTCACCTTGGTTTGTTTGGAGGAAGCTGTCGACTTGGTCGTCTGATGGACTGGTTTGGCTGTACCTTCATGGAAGTTCTGGGAGAAGATCGAGCAAAGGGGTCTGGTGCTGGAGGCTTCTTGGGTATTTTTTTCACCAGTCGGCTCACCCATTTTTGCTGTTCTTCTGTAGAATTAGCTAACAGTAGTAGATTCTTTGCCGTTGAAATATCATAGTATACTGTAATAAGGATTTTTAAAATAAAAATTATTATTCTAAACGTCCCCACATCAAAGTTAGTTGTCTGATTACCATCCTTACACAGTTACCACAAAAAGAAATCAACAGAAAAATCAAAAGCGAATTAGATTTTGCTAATTTTTAAGTTTCCTGGGTGCTGACAGTGCCTCCTCTTTACATTTAGAGGGTAACAACTTATTACTATGGAAGATACACACACAGAAAAAAACCAAGGAACGGTAACCCAGAGAGGTGTGCCTGAGTCCAGGAAGCAATGGAAGATGAGTCCCAGGGACACCCAATGTCATCTGCTCCAGCACGGGCACCAGCGCTGTTGTTCCCCCCGCCCGCAGCACAGCACAGAGCACACACACACTCACAACTGCCACACTGCTGCCTGAGGCTGACAACACCACAGGCAAGGACAGATACTGGCCACAGGCCATGACTCACAGCCCTGAGCTGACCCTTGTGTAGGCATCCTTAGAAAGGTTCTGACAGCTAGATACTAATAGAAGAAAAACCTACCTATGTTTAATTGGTGTCAGACCATTACTAGACTCCTCCCATCTATCAGAATGCCTTGTGGCTCCAGCAACTATATGTATATGCAAATACTTGCCATTTACCTTTGCACGGTGCTATAATCTCTTCTTTTTTATCCATGTGATCTTTGTGACACTTGATATGGCAACGGCGACATTCTAGAGCAGGAGGAGGTTTAAACATATGCCACAGTGGCTTCATACAAGCTTCACAATTGGTTGGAAAGTGATAAAGAGTAGGTATAAACTCATGTCCTTTGTGACAAATGTAATTTGACTTCTCCCCCATGGGTTCCACAGGAAATTCCTGTTCCTTTTTGCTCTCTCCTTCATTAGCATATAGAATCTAGAATCAAAGCAAAGTAATCTCAGCAATCCTAGATGACCAATGCAATTCAGAGTCATTACCGAAGTAGAAAGATTGAAGAACTACCCCAGAATCAATTTTTCTCAAGATTTTTTTAGTAAATATTTCATTAGGCAAAGTTACAAAAATATTTTTGACAATGCATGAAATACCATGTTTGTTACACTAGAAACATTAATTTATTACTGAATACCTGGAATATCCTAGGAATTTCCTTGGAATCTGCTCTGTACACATCAGTCTGAGTGACTGGTCGGACATGGAAGAGTTTGCTATAGGAAATTATTTCAATAAGGACAAAAATTAATGTTACCACAATGATAAATTTAAATTGACAGATTAAGTTAGGATACAACGTGCCACATTACAACCTAGAGCCATTAAAGATTTGTCAGTACAAATTTCTAACCATTTAATTGAAGTCCTATCTTTCAGCTCCACACATGACCTTCCAAAACTCCTACATAAGAAGTCAAAAGTATCCAGTGATATTTCCAGGACCAAAAAAAAACCAAAACCAAACCAAACCAACAAAAGCAAACCAACAAACAAACAAAAAACCCACAATCAACCAAACAAAAACACCAGGGCACTGAGAAACCAACATCATGTGACTTTAATGATTGCCGGTAGCTTTCTAACACAATCCTCTCCTCACCTTCCAACCTCTGAATATCCACATTCTCCCTTTATTAAAAAAATAAATTAACTATACAACCTACATGTAAGGACATGTTTTAAGTGAAAATGTACAAACTCTGGAAATTATAGCCACTCTGCTACAGTTTTCTGAACGTGTTTTTGCTACGTGTGTGTGAGATAGGTCTAGCTGAGGTAGTAGAAGCAGTTCAGTTACAGCACAGCTCAGTGGAGCTCCCTGTATCAGACCTCTCCAACAAAGTCCACCTACAGATCAGAAGAAGGAATCTCACATGATAATACTTACTCTATATCTAATACCATATAGGGATTAGATTGTTCTTTATCTTGTTCGCTGTCATAGAACAGAATCTTCTTACTGCTTACAATTACATACTGTTAGGAGAGAGAAAAGGATAAAACATACATTTCAATCTGGCTCATCAAAGATGTCAAAGCAAGTACCACAGCTGTTGAAGCAATATTTTTCTAAAGTTTTGTTAGATGGTTGCTAAATGGGCAATAGTAGTACTGTATGCTAAGCCCACTACTTGCCAATAAATTCACTGCACAACAAACAAAATTCTGGTTACTTCATAAATCAATTTATGTTATCAGATGAATTGCTATTTCAACAGATTTAAGTATCTATGAAAGGATAAAAATTAAAGTCTGGAAGAAAGTTAAGATAAAAGCTTTTCATTTCTATTTTACTAACTTAATTTTCACTTGGATTGGAGACCAATTGTCATCTTATAATTCCTATTTTACATGTGCAATTCACAACAGGGATCATACTCACAAAGATCAGTGTTAAACTTACCAGCATTACTATCCATTTTCATAAAAAAAGCTACTTACTTATGAGACCTTCCATTTACAGAATTTTGTGCAGAAGGAACAGCTTGACTGAGCATTAAATGAACTGGTATGAAAATGTGTATGGTGCTCTTTGGGCAGAGACCCATCAGAGAGGTTACTGCAAAGCAGCAAACAAGTGAAGGCTGAACAACAGTTAGTTTTATCCACTAAATAAAGAATTGGTCAAGGGAATCTTCCAGACTCTCCTGAACTCCAGCCACATAATACTGCTGGGAATGCTTATGGCTGAATGTACAAACATTTGAAGATCATGAACGGCTGTTCTCCCCTCTGGCTGGACAAAGAAGTGTCTTAGCCTCCTACAGTTGTCCCAACCTGCTCCTCTCAGATGAAGCTATACCAGCTAACATATTTTATACACTGAAGTAATGAGAGAATGTGTATCAAGTGTTGAAAAATTGCAGTAAGTTTAAAATAAAGACTAGACATGAAACAAGATCATAAATCTGGTTTTCTTACCTTCTTTACCCATCCAAATTTTTTAGTGTTATTTCTAACAGGCAGCGATAGCCAGCCTTCCAATCTTGATTCTGAAAAACGATACGTATTAAAGAGCAAAATATTTACACAACATTATTTTTGAGAGTAGTGCACATTTAAAAATACTTTTCAAAGATCAATAATAAAGCACTAGAACAAACATGAGAACATGAACCATTGAGAACTACAAGGTCTTGCAAAGTTTATCACAGTAAATGTTCAGGAATAAATTAAATCATGTATTCCTGAATACAGCCAGTAGCCAACAGCACAGTCACAAAGAAGTAATAGGCACGAGGAGGAAGGGGAGGAGCAAACTTGCAATTATAGCACACACATTCCCTTTAGTAATTTTTTCAAGACTTAAAATACTTATGTCTGTCAATCTTTACCTTTTAAAACAGCACCTGAATATATTAGTACAGACCACACAACATCCAGTTCAAGACAAAAAAAGGCAAAATACCACCACAAATAACCTACATCCTCCAAAGGCCAGATAAAATTTCAGAAGTTTAGTTTGCCAATTTTTATTTTTTGCTTTGTAAATTTTTCCTTTTTCTAATTCTCCCTATATCTCCTAGGCTTTCTAATCCAAAAATAAACCATTTTTAGCAAATACTTAGGCCTTGCCTAAACTCAGCTGCCCTTTCACATACTTATAATATTTTATATTCCACTGGCACATTATTCAGATTGTATTTGTCAAGAGTACTAGCAGCTCAGCTGTTGTTTGACATACACACCAGTAGTAACCAAAAACTCACCAAGATCACACTTTCTCAGTGTTTGGTAATACATAGTATTGCATAGCCCTTGACTCTGTTTTTATAGCTGCACTTAATGCAAGCATTTCTTTCCCCTACATTTTATTAAGGGGAACTACTCAATTGCAATGCCATTTTTGCAGTGAGTCTCCCACCCTAGCAGATAACCTCTACTGCTGCTGAGGAACCTCCAAGTCAAAATTACTGAAGCCTTAAGCATTAACAAACACAAAAGCATGAAAGGAGCATAATCATGCTCAAAAATTGCAAAAGCTATTTTCTTTTTCATCAGAGGGCATTTGCAGGCTCTTGTGCAGATTTAACATATTGTAACAAATATTTATTATATATTAAGTACCATTTTGCCTAGAGACTTGAAGCAAGGTTATTTATTCAGATACACAGTCTTCGACGTTTACTGCTCTATAAGCATTGCTGTTGATGACACATTTTAATGTACAAACCAAGCACATGAATTAGTTCTATAATGTATATCTTGCTTCATGCCTGCCACTTTAAATTACTCATATCAACTTCTTATCCTAATACAAAGGATAACAAGCATAATGCTGATGCAAAAATATCCTTCCCCACGTGCAGGAAGCATGTGTAATTTGTTAATGGTATGAAAAAAAAAAAAAGGCACTCAAATTTTTCCTATTTTTCTCTGTATTCTCTAATACTATCGCATGAAATTGGACAAAATGAGAGCTTCTGATTTCTGATTCATTTCTGGTGTCCACTAACAGATCACAGAAAGGGTGGAATATTCCAAAATTAGGAATTGAAAAAACAACATCAGACGTCAAATCTGTCCTGTCTTAGAAATTATTTTTACTTTAGAATAAAAGAAAACCATGCAGATACTACAGCAGCAGCTGACAAGGAAAAAGTTTTGTATGTACTCAATGAGTATTTTATTAGAAGCCTCGTAGCAAAAACCAGAGAATAAGGAAAATAGAGGAAATGCATTATTCTCTAGATTGATGAAGTCATGTCAATATCCCCCCCAAAAGTTTTGGTTTCAGTGGAAAGGTATTCACACTTTAAAGAAACCTCAGCTGAAACACAGAAATCTGCATGTAATTAAAAAACCCACCTGTGACATTAACACTAAAGAGAATTTTGTTCAACACATTGTACATATAGTCATATAAAATGAATACAGAATTAGTAAAACAAAGCTCTCTTTTACCACAGGCATATAATTTTGTTATATGCTTTATATATCTGGAAAAATGAATAGGTTTTGCTTCTCTTATCATACAAGAATCAAACATAAGATTGAAATTAAGGCAAGACAGTGTAATACTGACAAGACTGAACTTTATGTGCACATAATGTAAACTTAGATGGTGAGGAGTTAGATGTCTCCACACTTCACTTAAACACAAAGATTTGACGTTTTGGTTTCCAGTGTCTTAGGGTCATACAGATAGCTGCAGATACTTGATAGAGTCTACCTCAAAAACAAGGCCATAAGGCTCTTTTATTCAGTGGTTTAACAAAACTGGTGGGTTTATAAAGGACAGTGGGCATCTGTAACCATTTAGAGAAAACAGGCCAGTTATTTGCTCATGTGAACTTTTTCATCTCTTTGATGGCAACGTTTACTGCCACTGGAGTGTGTTTACTGCCAGATTTGGTTTTGGTTTTTGTTTAATAATGTATTAATAGTGTTAGTTTTGCAACAGAGAAAAGGTCAGAGTAAGAGCAAAGTCAAACACTTCTCAGGGATGTCACCTGTGCTATCAACTTCTGTAGGGCTGTGGGAACAAGATAAAGGTTCTTCCTCTGAGTCAGAATCAGAATCGAGAAGCATGCGAGAACTGGAAGGCTTAGTGGCAATACTGACAGAGGTAGAAGAGTGCTGGTAGGTAAAGGACATGGATTCCATAGTGTGGGATTGAGTGATATGGACTGAACATCAAGCATAAAGGAGGAAAAAGGTAGAAAAGAAGTCAAAATAGAATCTCTAAGAAGACAGTATTGGTTTTACATTTCATCACAAAACACAGTAAATGCAAAGTAATCATCACAATAAAGTGGAAAAAATATTTAGTTTTAATGTGGTACAGTAAAATTAGAAAAGAAATTTCTTTAAATAAATAAGATGAAGTACAGTTACAGACAGATTTAGTTAGCAGGTGGATAGTGACCACTATCAAAACACTGATAAGGTTGTAGAAAAGTATGAAAATGAAGAGCAATAGAATCATCAGAGCATTAATTTAATACTTCAGCTTCTATGGTAAAACACTGATATAGACCCATTTAATGCAGAAATATTAAGAAAATTAACATACCAGGGAATCCATCATCTGCCTCAGCATCTCCAGGCCCACTACCTATGCTACTGTTGTCCAGACCAATGTGCAATGACTGCAGCTGTGAACGAAGCTGTTCAATGTCACTGTCTTTGCTGTCCAGAGTCATCTGGAGTTCAATCCGTATCTGACTCTCTTCTGCTATTTGCTGTGAAGACGAATTAGAAGATTTGCTGTGATCAGAATACTCAGTTAGGCAGAGAAAATATATACTGTGTATTTCTTTTGGTCAAGGGAAATTTGGGAATAGAAAATGTATACACCACCTAAAAGCCTGAATCAGTAAGAGTTACAGAAAATGCTATCAATATATATACTTGCAAAAGGGTCTTACTGCCTGCATTTCGTTGATTTCCTTCTGATATTTGATCATCATTTGGGTTAACTTTTCTCGTTCAGACTTCAGTTCCATATGCAGTTTCCTGTTCTCCTTCTCCTTGCGCCGTACATCAGTGTCAGCTCCACGTTTGACTGGACCCTTCCGATTCATTATCTCAGCCAATTTATTGACAGCCTTCCCAGGGGAAAGAAGAAAACGACAAAAACCGCACCAATAAAGACAAAGATATAGATCATGAAGAAAAAAACATCTTCTCTCCTATCCATGACCAGATACTTGTAATCTATCTGTAAACTAAGACCTCTGCAATACAGTACTATCAAGCTGCTTTAATTCAAGGTATTACTCAAAACTGAAAAGAAGTTAATGATGCCATTTTCACTTGAAGCAAGCATTATCTGGGAACGCTTCTACTCTGTTAAATATTCCCTTCCATTTCATTAGCTAGCCCTCAAATATACCTTTGGATTAAAATGCCAGTTGTTCTAAAAACCAATCCAGATTAAAATCAGGAATACACTGTTTTATAGAATTTACAGAGGAATATAAATTAAGATGGAAAACAGTAAAATTCATTTAACTGAAATAACTTTTGCTGGTGGACTGCATCTGGATTAGGAGTCTCTCTAGGATAAATCATGAGGACGTAGTTTCACTACAGTGAAAGTCTACTTAGTAGATGCAAAAAAAAATCACTATACTTTGTTTTGGGGCAAAAAAGAATACAGTATTAGCGGTACATATGGGTAGTTTACCATGGAAAATTTTCTATTAAAACATTCTTTGATTCATGAACACTGTCCATTCATTTAGATATATTTGCTTACCTGGGTTTTCAATGTTCTTTCATTCAACAGCTGTTTCTCAAATTGTGCTTTAATATTTCCTACATTTGCCTCTTCTTCTTTTAGCTTTGTAATTTCTGTACCAAAGCAATTGAAAAAGAAAAAAAAAAGGACGAAAGCTCATTATTACAAAAGAAAATAGTAATATTAAAGAACAAAAATTGCAGATTAAATTACGTTTGTTTGATAAAATACATACGTTCTTGCACTTCCTTCAGTTTATTGTTTAGTTCTTCTTTCTCATTAGCAAGATTAGCCACATCACTAGTTAGTGTCCTATTTGCTTCCTCCAGCTACAAAACAAAAATTACACGTGACTGTAACAAAACTCATTTGGCAAATGAAAGCATTAGAGGACAGAAGGAAATGCTTCAGACTGAAACCAGCATAAGGATAAGAGGAGCTCTAAGAGGGGTAGGGGAACAGAAGAAATAAAGCTCAGAGAGATGTCTCCAAGAAACACAAGACGATATAGCTGTAAATATGCTACGTAACAATGGATAACTGGATAAATAAGCTCATGTAAACCTCTACCAAAATTACAATTCACGTTACTTACAGAGGCTATGGTGGCATCTTTCTCAGTAAGTTCCTGTTTATGCCTAGCCATCATCTCTTTAATCTCCAGCTCTTTCATTATCTTCTCTTTTTCCAAATCAGAGTACTGCTCCTCAGCAATGGAACGTGCAAGTTGTTCTGAATCTGCCTTTGTCAAAGTAATCTCTAGCTGAGCAGCCAAGGAATCTCTGCAAGTTATTGATATATATTATTAGCTTAAAAAAATAGCAGGTTACTGGGAGGAAAGAAAAAAGAAGAGAACAACAAAAAGCCGTCTTTATGTATTAGTAGTTCAACTAGTAAAGCCTACCTCTCATCCTGTAACTCTTGTATCTTTTGTGGCATTTCTTTACAAAGTTTGGTCTTTTCCTCACACTCTTCTTTAAGTTCTCGAACTTGTGTCTTATACAGAGTCTAGAATTTCAAGTTGGAAAGATAAGGACATGACTAGCATATTCTCGCTTGAAGGGACACAAAAAATTACACAGGATGACATTGTGTGCAATTCCTTAATCATATTTCAATTAGAGTATAACGGTGCAATGCCTTCTCTAAATTTGACTGAACATTATTATCATTCAAAAATATGTTTTGGTTATCTTACTTTTTTGTTGTTCTTATTTTAAACTTGTGTATTTTTGAATGGATAGATGTATTTTATATGTTATATAACACATTTCATATGTTTACAGACATACTATTAAAAAGACTTTAAATGCAAAACTCACTATTTGATAGAAAAATCAGAAGTATCAGAAGAAAGGAAAATCACAGATTTATTTTTCTCTATTATTTTAGATTCTTGTATTGACATAGGTAGGTATGAACAATTTAGAATTTAACCATACAAATCCACAAAACCAACATGACAGATAAAGAGTAAAAACATACACAGGAAGAAGGGAAAAACAGATTAGAAAAGCATTTGGAATTCAAAATTTTGTGAAATCTATACAAATCTAAAGCTCCAAAAGAAATGAAAGAAAAATTATCTTGCTCTGTGCACTCAAATGACTGAATATAGGTCAAGTGACAGTCAACTGCAGGTGGACTTACTCCAGACTCTTTCTCGCCCATTCACAGTGCTCAACTGACCTCAACTCTCCCTTTTTCTCCTTTAATGAAAGCAATTTTTTGCTCTACTAAAACTTCATATAGTCCTCCTCACCAACCTAAAGACCATAGTAATATCCTTTAATTCCTAAACAAGCATTATGGCTTCTACCTGCAGTGTGTCTGGCTGTCTACTGCTAATATAAATTAAGCTACATATACTATTTGCAATTGATTATTTTGCAACTGATTATGCAACTGATGATTAAGTACAATACCCATTTATTCTGTTACACCTTATCACAATAAATTAAAAACTCCCAACAGATCTCTACCAAATGTGGCTGTAATGCAAAAAATTCCTTCCAAGCCTTAAAAGCACATGATGTGTCAGACCACTTGATTCTGAGAATACAGCTCTTCTCTTCCCTGCAGCATGGAAGAGATGCTGAATGCAAAAGGCTTCTTCAAACATGCAGAAAGTTATTCACACTGTGGAAAAATTAGCTGATTGACTCCCCTCTCTCTGAACTGTTTTTGGGGACTCCCTTTCAAAGCTGGGACATTTCTTAACATGAGTTCCTTCACACTGCCCTGTGATCAAGAACAAGGAGCGACGACAAGGCTGCAGACAAGACTGAAGACAAACAGAATTAGCTTTAGGTTAGAGATGTGAAATGCCTGATGGCTGAGAAGGAAGAAATGCTAACACTGTACATAGTAAACAGATCAGCATAAAAATATAGAAGAGTAAAACATACAGAGAAATACTGTTCAGCTTCAAGTTGGTCTTGAAGCTCTTTCATTTGTCCGTCTGCATCTTGACGTTCCCTAGAAAGGAATAACATACTTTAAAAGGCGAGATTTGAAGATAATCCAAACCAGTAAATGGAAATGTCATTTCCAGACCAAAGTATGGCCAGCAATTAAACCTGAGGTGTCCTCTGGGTACCATCTATCTTTTTCACTTGCACAGTTGAGAGTATCACACTAATAACAATTCACTTTAATAAGGTTGACACACTAACTGTAACAGTGTCACGTAGTTTAACCGGTAAGAGACACTGATAAAGCAGAAAGTCACTGACAGAATCTCACTTCCATGTAGAACACCACTGACCTGACAGATTGTTTTGGGTCTCCCATTTGTCAGACCTCAGTCTGTGAAAGCATGTCCATATTCTTTGACATGCATTGTTTCATGAATTCATCTGTTACTGAAATGACTTGGAAGTCAGTTAGTCCCATAACAAATAACAGGAATGTAGCAGAACAGATTTCTGCCACTGTTTCACCTTACAGCAAGTGTTAAATGTAGCAGCCTTCTACATGAGTAACCACATCTTGCTGACAGAAAAGATGAAGCACAAAGAGATAAACCATAAGAAGCCATGAAGGAGCTAGGAATGAGATTCATCTGATACATGTGCTCAACTTGTCATTCACAAGAATGTTTTTTATGTTTAAAAAAAAATTAAAATTATTTATTATCAAATGCAAATATTATTTGTAAGGTCTTTACGAACTGCTGGGATTTAACACAACTCCCATTTGCAGGTCCAACAGATGTGTCTAAACATGTTTAGTACTGGATGTTTCCAACAGTTACACTTCACAGCCCTGTTTTAGTATTTATTTCCAGCTCTAATAAGCTCTCCTGGACTAATAATGCCAGAAAAAATTGCTCTTCACTGAACTCTCATGTAATATTTTAAAAAAAAGTACCTAGACTTTCTGTTAAATGAGGGCTTTTCCGAAGTCCTCACACTTTCATGTTTAAGCTGGTTATCTTATGATTGTCAGGATAATATCTTTTATTACAAATCTATGTATTGCTGAATCACTATGGCAAATCTCAGCTAGAGTCGCTGTAAATTATTTTAAACAACAATGAAGTTTTTCATTGTAGAATAGCATATTCTGTACAATGTTAAAAACGAATATTGCTCTCTGCTTTTCCCCAAAACCAATTACAAATCAGTAACATTACTAAAAAAACCAGAGCAACTCTACGTACTTGCGGAGCTCATTGTTTTGTTTTTCCAGACTTAATTTGATTTCCTGAAGATGGTTATTTTCCTGTTTTAGCTGCTTCTCTGACATTTTCAAGGTGTTGACTTGCTGCGTTTGCATCTTGAGGTCATTTTGAGTGAGACAGCGCTTTTGTGTTTCTTGCTCTATTTTTAATGTTAGGTTTTTTACCTGAAAAATAAACAGAAACCTGTGAATTTTACAGACCTACACAGGAAAGCAACACTTCAACAGTGTCTCCTACTGACTTCCTCTACATTTTTGTACAACATGCTCACATATTTTGGTAAGTCAAAGCTGTTTCCTGAACAAAGGCATCAGCGCACAATAAATGAGCTAATTTTTCCCTGCCAATCTCACACCATTTTACAATCCAGAAGAAAAAGAAGTTTTTAGGATTAATAATGCTGAAATATTTCAGAAAAATGAAATCACATTCCCTAAAGTAGACTTTTTAAAGCTCCAAACAGCAAGAAGGAAAAAGTTGCTGCCATTTTAACTCACAAATATTCCCAAAAATAGCTATAACAGGAAAAAATACTGGGACATTGAAAACAGGTTCCACGCAGGACTCCTTTTGTCAGTGTTCCTTACATCTTCATTCAGTAGATCCTTCTGCCTAAGGAGCTCATTGATTTTCTGCTGTGATTGTTTGAGATCACAGTCCAACATGGAGCGCTGCTTTTCAGCTTCTAACAACCTATTTTCCACTTTCTGCTTTAGAGCTCTCTCTTCCAAAAGCTTCTTCTCCATTTCTGTAAAGTAAGAGATTTAAGATGTCAGTCAGTGTACACTAGTGGACTTTGAAGGGCAAGGGGGGAGGATGTCTGTGCCACATCACAACAAACAACATGTTTATTCTTTAAATACTGAAGTTTGCTGAAAAGTGATTCATTAAAATTTTCACATCAAACCCACACCCAGAGGATACTTTTGCAAGCATTCCTGACTGATAGCTATTTCCTGCTTCTGAGTTTCAAGATAACTTCCAGTTTATCTGCAACACATCTGAGATGGATAAATAGGGTGCATTTTTTAAAATAATCCATCTACATCCACTGAAGTGTTGCTTTGACTATGGTAATTTGAATCATTTAAAGAGTTGAAGTTCTTTGGGAATCTGATATGCCATGTGATTCAGCAAGTATTATGGAGTCATTTTTGCTTCTTTTGAACATCTGCATGCTCAAAATTATTGTGAATGCTGTGCAATTGGAAGGACAGGATTTGTAGGCAGCTTTTTAAATAACTGCAATAAACACAGGCCATTTAATTAAAAAGTAAGAGCCATCTTCTGGAATTGTTTGATAATCATCCCGCTCTCCAAGAGATTTCAGTTTCCATGAAATGCACCAGAACATGCACAGTGACTATGTAAGTGTTGCAAAAGCTTTGCCATTTCTAACTTTATCTGGCTTACATATTTAAATCCTTATTTTGCTGACATATTTCTTTTAGGAAGACACAAAAAGGCATGAGTACACTGAGTAAGTACATAGCTAAGCTTTTAACGGAAATGTTTCAACCAGTTTTAGTAACATAAATTTAAGAAAAATTAATTCAGAATACACTAGAAAATGAGTCAATGTGGGCAATGGAGAACCTGGTTTACTCCAAGACTAAACTACTGTCTTTAACCTAGCAAAGTGTGGATGAAGGGACTACGACTGATATTATTCTTTTAAAATCACAAGGAAATCAAGGAAAAAAGGTCTACATTTCAGTTTCCACTAGCATCAGAGGACCATATTATTTATCCTATATAATTTATACCTAAGTCCATCTGTGAGGTCAGATACATACCTTTCATGGCTTCAGATTTTGCCTCTTCTATAGATTCATAGATCTTATTTTTGTCTGCTAATCTTGCTTTTGTGGCTTTATGTTCAGCTTCTTCTTGTTCAAGGTTCTGCTGCATAACTTTGAATTTATATGTCATATCTATTTCCATGTTGCTCTTTTCCTGTTAAAGAAAAATTTACATTGATATAAAACACTAAATATGTCAGGTTAAAGGCAAAATTTCAGAAAACAGTAACATGCTGCTTAGAGTATGCTAAGAGTAGAAGAGAGAGCTCAGATTGCAAGGAGTTGAGATCTCATTTCTACATGTTTTTCTGTGGATGGCAAAGAGTTCCAAAAATGCATAATGACATCCCCAGCTGCAAACAGGTATAAAATTACTACCTTAACAATCAACTTTCTGTAATAAGAGTGGCTATAGGACTGAGTTTATTGAAGAAATTTTTCAATATTTTTGTTTTGATGACAAAGTTGTTTAAAAAAAAAAGCTTTTTTATTTTTGTCAATATTGACAGTTAAAGAAAAAGACATTAAATGTTACTACTGCACTGTCAAGTTACACAAAAAAAACCCAGTAGATGAAATTATTACTCTACTCTTAAGTTACACACTAGAATACATTATTATGTACTTTAGAAATATAATATATTATGATCATAAAGGAAATTGTCTTATTTTACCCACTTCTCAAATTGCAAAAATATTAAACAAAAAATTCAAATAAAAAGAAAAAAAATATTGCCACCAAGGCTTATGTTTTTGCAGATCTTGTCTTCAAGTTTGAAGTTAATTAAAGTGCAAATCTAAAAATTCCTTAAGAATGCAACACCAATATGCCCTTGGAAGAGCTGGTACCTTTTCTAAATCTGTAAGTTTTTCCTGCAATTGTCTCTTCTCCATTTCCAGTTTGGCTAATGCACTCTTACCATTTTTCACTTCTTCTTCAAGGCTAGATATTCGACCTAAAAAATGACCAAAACATCAATGAGGCTGGGCAGTGTGTGAAAAAAGAATCTGTTTTATCTACTTAGAGATAAATGTTTTCAAATAGAACAATTTCTACTTCTGACTATTAAGAATATCTCCCTTTGGGGTGATTTTTAAAAATCATCAATAACATTTTATAAACATTACCACACTTTTTCTCTTAGATGTGTGTCCAACTCTTACATAATATTGCACAGAACAGCACATTAACCTACTCACACTCTGAAGCTCAAATAACATCACCAAAACCTATTTTATTTCTGAAACCTGAAGCAAGTTTAACTTCAGATTTGCAGGAATACCTTGTAAATCACTGATAATCTCTGATCCATGACTTCGATCTCTCCTTTCCGATTCTAGAGCTGACTGAAGATTGAGAAAGTCCTTCTCCAGTTTGAGTTTTGCATTCTCTAGCAGGCAGTTCTTATCTTGTAGTTCTCTATTATTAGCTTCCAGCTGCTGGATTTGCTTTGTGCTTTCTGTCTGGTTCTTCCTTAACCTGGCTGCAGTATCAGACTCTGACCGCAGCAAAGAATTGGCTTCATCCAACTAAAGATTGATAAAAACATATTTCAGAAGCAAAACTACCATTTTTACTAGAGAATACTAGATTTTATGGATTAAAGAAATAAAAAAGAGTGTATTTTAAGATTACTATCGAACACTAAAATATGACAAGAATGAACAGCTTCTAAAACTCCATTACACATTTCAATTCCCTCCCCTAGTAATAGAATCTGTACTTTGAACAGCTATTATTTTGAAATACACATATATAGTTGCCATGCCTGTCTCTGTAGTTGATTGATTTTCTCATTGGATATTTGAGAGTTCTGGTTCCTCTTTTTTAAATCTTCAAGCTGGTCTTTCAAACTGTTAACTGTAACAAAAACAAGTCAACATTGTTAATCATTGCCATGAAAAAGCTTCGGTTTCAGCTAGAATTCATTTATTTTATCTTTTAAAAACCCACATCAAAATCAAACCCATCAAGTATGGTTCAACATACCCTCATTTTCCAAATTGCGTTTCTTATCTGCTTCATGTTCTGCTTTCCTCTGGTATTCTGTATTCTTATGCTGAAGAAGTGCCTTCTCTCTTTCTAACTGTCTGACTGCAGACTCTACATTCTTCCTTGAAGTTATCTGGATATATATTAAAAAAACACCCCACGACTAATTATATACGGAAGAGTGGTATTTTTTAAACGATACAAAGAGAGCTCACGCACTCGGTTTAGTTTGTAATGGAGAAGGACACAGTCTATTTGCCTGCCCAAACATAGCAGATCAGAACATGTGGTCAAATACAGTCCAGGACAACTATGGCCAGAACTTTAACAATTTAAAGACTGATCTTTTGGATTTGACGAATCTGTTAAGCCTGCCTAGTAGCCGCTCTGGAGGCAAAGAAACATACATGTAAGGTAAGGTCTTGACATGTGCCATGGACACATGATATTGTACACATCCACTGAAGATACAACAAATCTGTATCAGCTCTAAGGTGCAAATCTGGGCAAGAAATGCTGGGTCCTGACACTATTTGAACAATGCAAACAATGGCCTTCCTCTTCTAGCCACATTCCTCTCACATCTTCAAGTTTCAGAATCCTATATAGGATATTTATATCATGCTGTCCTCCAAATTAAAACCACAGTAAAAACAGAATTGTGGATGTGTAGTTACAATACAGAAATCATAATGAAAATATTTTAGCAGTGACAACAATTTCATGCTTGTGAATATTAAGAAATCAACTGCTATTACTTGCTCTAAGTACAGCGCTCCTCAAAAGTAATTTGCCCTTTCCTACAGAAAAAAAAGCCACACACAAATCTTAAAGTTCTAATTCCAGTAAGAAATAACTCTGGACTTACCTCTTCATCTAGCTCTTTCACTATCTTCTCTAAACGAGTATTAGTAGACCTGAAGAAATGTGAAAAATATTTTTAAACCCTGCTGATTATACAGGAATTAGAATGTTAGTATGTGTCTCGTTAATTTTATATAAGATACTCCATTTTCAGCAATCACATGAAACTTCAAGGACTGGGAAAATAAGAGAAAGATTCTCATGAAGAGTTAAGATAGAAAAAAGTAAATAAAAACTAGTCACAGAAGTAGTAAGAATTAAGCCAGCAATTTACAGTGAGGTCCGCTTGCAGCATCCGGAATCCCCAAAGTGGATTAAAATGCTTTTAAGCATTCAAAACCAAAAGGTGCAATAAAACTTCTTCATCAGCATACCAAACATGTCAAAACAGTCTCACCTGTACTTCTGTTCTAGTTCATCTTTGGCTTGCAATTCGTTACTGAGCTGTTCTTCTAGCTTGCTTAGCTTTTTCTGAAACTGTATAAAATGCCAAAAAAGCATGGCCCATGTATAAAAAGGTTATCACATAAGTGTTGTTCAATTAAATTAAAAAAAAAAAAAAAAGGGAAAGCGAGGAAAATTAATTCAATCTTCCACTATATTTTTTTAAACCATCGCTAGAAGGTCACACCTTTAAAATTATTAATCCTGATGATTTTAAAGATACAAATCCATAGCAACAAAATTTGCTGCATGCTACATTAAGTCTAACCATCACAAAATCATGTGTCACAGCCTGCGAGTCATAATATTGCTATGGGCAAAGAATATTGTTACTGGCCCTTTGCTGTCCTCCTCCTCTGCAGACAGCAGAATTTCTGGGATAGTCTTCTCTAAATAAAATTATGAATTAAAAAAGCGGGCACATGATTGAATTGGATAATATTCAGAGAATATTACTAAGCATACTCAACGACCTCACGTAAAGAAGAATTTTAGTCTAACAGAGAAGATAGCAATAAATAAATGATAAATTTTGTATTTGTCTCATGTCTTCATACTTTTGAATGCATTTATTTTCCTCTCTTTCCCCCCTTCTCCTCTACCCTCAAACTTGAAATCTAAAAATGCGGTTTTCTAAAACACTTTATAATTGTTACAGTTACAAGATTCCCAGAACAGGGATACTGAAAGGGACATCAAAACTAGAGATTCATTGCTTGAGACAATACAAATAAGAACAGCATCAGAAGTGAAATACAAAATTTTACCAACTATGTTTATCATCACAAAATAAACCAAATATGACAGTGTATGTTTTAAACATTGGTAGCATTTCTTTTTAAAAGGGAACCTCTAGAACTACTAATCTAGTCAGCAACGTCTAAAACTATTAATCTATTCAGCAATGACAGGAAGGAACGAAGTGGAGTCTGATACACATTTCCATTTAAATTTATGCTGGTCATTGCATAAGACACTTCCTTTACTTATTTTTTAAACTTTGAAAAGGAGTTTTAAGGAATGTTAACAATGTACTATCTACACTTGAACAATACAAATGTTTAAGTCACATCATTAAGTGATCTGCAAATTAAAATTCAGTCTTCAAAAGCTGGATAAACATGCTCCATAGTTCAACTGAGAGCACGATTTAATCATTCCTTTACCACTGCAGGTGACAATTTTACTTTTCCATATTCTGAATAAATCAGCCATTAATCATTCAGGCAAGCATGACGCCAAATTTCACAACCTTCCCAAGAGTGATGAGTGATGTTGTTTGTGGCAAACAAAGCCTTACAGATTTGTTTTCCAAAAAATTAAAGATGCCAAAAGAATTCAAGAAAAATCTGTACTCATTAATCTTTATACTACAGTACCTTAATGTTTGAGTACAAATGTTTAAAAGTACAACTGTTATCAATTTGGTGAACAAACACTTAGGATATTCACATTCACAGAAATTATGTAGGAATTTTTTTATTCCTTTCATAATTCAAATAACATGCTTACCTCCTTGCTGTCCTGTAAACAGAAAATACTACTTTTATTGAGGATCATTAAAAGACAAAAAGCCCCCCAAAAAACTTCTTGAAAACCTGTTTTAGACTTTGTCTTTTCTTAATAGACTTAACAAGATTAGCTAATCATACCATTAAATAATTACAAAAAAAAAAAAAGGCACTAACCTCATTTTTACTAGATTGCACAGATTCATTTTCTCTGCAAGACTGAGAGGAGTCACTTAGCAACCTGTCAAAAACAAAAACAAATCCCTCCAGCTTTTGTTCAAGTTTTCAACAACTCTGGCAAACTTGCCCATCAATTCATTTTAATCAATTATCTCAAGTCTTAAGTTCTCCTATGCTACTCTCAGAATGAAGCTTGTTTCATTTCGGTGTGAATGCATCTCTCTGATTTGAGTCCTTTCTCAAGTGAAGTATAATATATGTTTTCAAATCCATAGCAGCTTATAGTTTTTTAATTAATACAATTATTTCTTAACCTTTTGAGTCCTAGCAAGCTATTATCTTATGTAAACTTTTTCCAAAGCTACTAATAAAAGAGCCATTTTGGAACTATGTTACAAATTTATCAGTATTTTAACCCCAAAAGATTTTTTAAGAGACGATATAATTTTGTGCATATAAAAATACAGTATTTAATCATTTACCAAAGCAACCAAAGAGTAGCAAATTATATATTCTGCTTAAACTCTGCATTTTGTATCTTCACAACTGGACATAAATGAGCATAATGCAATTAATAAATTATGTGAAAAAATAGAGTGAAAAAATTATAGCAATCTGCAGGTGTGTTTCTAAAAATGTATCTGTAAAAGTATCACATACAAATTGTCTCTGTAGTAGGTAAATCCTATAAAAGGCAGCTGGTTTCCCACAAAGGCTTTAGGGATTGGAAAGGTTTCCACGTCTCCCTTGTCGTCCTCAATGTCATCAAAATTACTGCTATCTATATCACTGCTAAGCTCAGGAACAACAGGAGCAGCAGCTATAAAAAGGGGAGAAAAGAACAACTTCACTCCAAGATTCAGCCACTTGCTATATACTGGTATCTCTAAGTTAAAAAGACTATAATGTAAGTTGTCCTTCTAGTTAAATATTTATTAACCATGCAGCAGATCTGTAAATATTACTGGGAACATTTTTTTTCCTAGAGAAATCTATTTCTGTATTAATTGCCTTACATATAGAATATCTAATGTGCAAAATGTATTTGCTAAGGTAATCACACTTGAGAATATAACTCCTAAATACAATCATCATTTTAAGAATCTTTAGTAAATACATGACTTCAGAAGTTACCATCAAGCTCACAAACTGATACATCTTTTTGCCTAAAGCTCTCAAGTTCACAATATGTCAAATGAAAAGCAGTAAAACTGACAAGACTGCTGTCAAACTACTGTCAACTACAGAAGGTTAAAAAGCACCTCCCCCCACGAAAAACCCAAACCAAAACAACAGACGCCACAAAGAAAACAGAATCTAGCATGCATTCTTTTTAGTTAGGATTCTGAAACATCCATTTTTTTTTGTTCAGAACAGAAATCCATACATTAAAAGCACGACAAAGGTGAGGATAGTTCCAGTATGAAAAGTGTCTATTTGCTAACCCTTACTGATAGTTATTAGAATGCAAATTATAAATATGGAAGTTTGAGCAAGATTCTTGATAGACAGAATATAGTTTATACAGTCTGAAGGTTTTTTTCATTTCTACTACTGCAAATACTGAATTAAATAGAATTTCTAAGCTTATTTACTTACTTTCTCGAATGTTGTCCCAGTTCCACTGATCACTCTTGAAAAAAGGGTGATGCTTTATTTCTTCTACCCCATTTCTCCCAAGTCGCACATCCCTAAACAGATCAATTAAGCCAAATTCACATTAGGAAAAATTAGCAGTTGTTTTTTGTAATATAAATCCTGACTTGCTCATAAGCAGCAAAGAAATTTTCAGTAAAGATTGTCTGTGTTAGCTGCATTAATGGTCAACTAAAAAAAAAAAAATAAAAAAATTAAAACCACCAACCACTGCTCTGTAGTTTCTTATATAAAGTGCACTCTGTTTCTCAGCATACACTCTCCCTGTGACTACTACAAGGTCCAGAAATTGGAGTCTGCCACATGGGGAGTAAAGCAAGAAAGAGAGCATTGAGGCAAAAACTAAGAAAAAAGTAAAAACACAAACAAAAATCCCAACACCCTCAAGGGAAAAAAAAAACCATCAGAAGTTCCATGTGTGCCAAACCACATGACAAACCTTAAGACGCAAGTGAAGCAAACTCTAACTTACTGCACAGAACAGTTATTCAAAGCTGGACTGAAATAAATATTTTCAGAATTCCATCCTCTGCCCCGTAACTAACCCTGACACGTCTTTTGCTGGTATTTGCAGTGGAGTAAAATCTAAGTGCAACAAGAAACTTTTAGTTTGACCAGTAGAGTCTCTCTTAAGACCATCTACAAGAACAGGACACAAAAACAATGTGTGTAGAAGAGCTAATAAATCACAGGGTCAGTGCTTATTCCTCCTGCAAGTGCTCCAGCAGTGACCACGCATACACAGAGAAGGCATCTGTTTCAAATAAATGGCTTGAGCACTGTATTAAATATAAACAGGAAGACGGACACACGTAGTGGAAGTACACCTCGCTGCATTTACATTATTAAATTCTACTCACATTTTCTCTCTACCCTTCAGCTACTAAGAGTGAAAAATGCTCTTACAGCACATCCTTCCTGAGCAACCCCGGTCTTGCTCAACAGAGCAAACGATCTCTCTTTGAATGCAAAAAAATATTACAAGGCTTTTTTTCACCCCCTAATCCCTCATTCTATAAAGGCTGGATGTTCTGCTATAACCAGGTTCAGGTGACCACAGGAAAGCATGAAAAGGTATCCCTGATGCAGTTAGCTATGGACCTGCTGCATTCCTTTAAATCAGATAAACTGAAGATGGTCTCTGCTTTCTGGAACTGAAGAAAATGTTAGTGTACAGGTCAAGAACAAGCTTACACAGCTTAATATCAACAAACAGCTCAGTTCCCCTAAGAGAGACCTCTAGGATCTATTTATAGCCAAAACAATAACCTTGCTGGTTTGTTAACTACATTTATCAATTAATACAACAAAGCGAATTAAAAAAAAGTTCAAACACTCGAAGAAAGCCTGAACAAACTCAGTAAATACATGCTTATTTTCATAGAAGAATTCTCTTCCTTTTTTTTAAATAGCACCTGCACAGAAACTGAGCACAACAATCTGGTCCCTGCCTTGGAGCTTACAAATTACTTTCAACCTTACAGGTTTGTTACAGTATTATACACCAGAACTGGAATGATTTATCTGGCACAAATTGTGCTGTTAGCAAGAGCTGTCAGAACTGCTCATAGAAATAAAACACAATACCTGGAAAAAAACACCCTGAAAGAAAAACTAGAGACTTGGGGATTTTGCAGAAGAGAACTGGACAGAGATTAGGAGAAGTAATGGAAGGAAGTAATTCTTACAATGTACATGTGCTAATACCATCCAACACAAAAACAGTAATAGAATAAAACATGCACTTACCTATCAGTTAAAAAGGCACAGATAAGGTTCTTTGCATGCTTAGAGATTTCCACATCATCTGGGAAATGTAATGAGTTCTTATGATCCATAATTTTACTGTATGTTCCTACTAGTGAGTCTGCATAAAAAGGAGTATCACCTGAAAATAAAATAGTAAATTGACTGTGATTTTGAGTCATGTGAGTTGAAAAAGGCAAGAGATACAAAGAAAAGTCTATAAGCAATTTTACCTTTAATTGCAATGCAGGGTACAAAATAATGTATACTACTAAAAATGCTCCTTCCCTAAAGCACCTGTATTACAAACTAAGCCACTTTCAATCCTGCATATGATGACCAGAATTTTGCCCAGTGAATTACCTGAAGACTATCACTGTGTTCTCTAATTTATGTCACACCCACATAAACTGTCATTCATCTTTAAGCACTTCCATAGGTATAACGGACCAAAGCTCATTAAAGATTTGCTAATAACATTTGTTGGAAAGAATCCACCAAAGCTCTCCAAAGACCATATTAGAAGCATGCAAGGTCTATGCTGCCTAAGGCAAGTCAACTCTGAGCAGAAGCCTTCACAGTGTGTTACTGCACTGTTAAACCTGTATTAATAAATGCTGTTGACTAGTAAATTTTATTAGCTTGAGTGCCCATATTAACATGGGCAGGCGGCTGTTAAAATCACAGACCTTTCTCACCCAAAGGTCTGCAGCACAGGCTTTAGTTAAGTCCAATTTCTTTGCAAATATCCTTAAGAAAGCTTTCAAAAAGAATAGAAACACAGCACTCCTACCTGTAGCCTTTCTGTCATTTTATGGCAAAATAAATTAGTACATACCAGCTTGAACTAAACTTTTAGACTTTTAGTAAATTCGTTCCATTGCCACACCAGTACATTGAAGGAGGGGATCACTGATACTTGCTGCTGTCCCCTTTCCAAACCTTCCCTTTCTCAACTGTCTCAGAAACAGCTTTGATGTAGGCAGCACCCCAAAACTACCCTACATGACTGAACTAATGTTAGGAATCGTCCTGTGACCAACATTTTAGCTTTTAGTTAAGTACACAGTAAAAAGCAGTATCATTTTCATCAGCACTTAATCTTTACTAAAACCCGAGCCAACAGAACACTTTCTGTACTTTTTATAAAGTGTAAAGTTTTAAAAGACCATGGGCAGAATCTGATACATAACACAAACAAAACCAGATAATTTCCTAACACTGTGTGGGATATGGAGAAATGAAGTAAGATTTCACTTTAAGAAATGTTTTCATTAGAAGGAGAAAAAGAGGCGAACCCTCCCTCTCAGATACAAAGGCAAGGGGAGATAGAGACTCTGAGAAAATATTCTGGACAGCTACATTCAATATTTTAGTAACTGAAGAATTTTATTTATTGCTAAAATTGTTTATGAGAGCATACTCATTAAAAAACATGCTTTTTGTAAGTCAAAATGCCTTAATTCCAAATGACAGCAGAGAGATCGTAATAGCATCACATATCCCAATGTATTTCCTGGCTCAGTATACCAGAAACATTAAATCTGCAAAATTCCCAGAACATGCTGATTTGGATTTTTAATAATTATATGCTCAATTCCATCCTTCTATAATCAGTATTTTGCTACCAGACTATAATACTGATCCTCACTGTATTTTAAGATGCAGATGACTCATCTCCCTTAACAGATTATATTCTATATTTGTTGTCATAGCAGTGCAGTATATTTTAATGGAAAATCCTGACTCAAGTAGAAAAGAAATAATCAAGCCATACTTCCACGGGCATTTTGACCTAACAGAAGGTATTGCTAGTGCTGGCAAAAACCCAGAAGGCCAGGGGACGGACACACACACACACACTGACACACGTGACATGGACAACAGCAGAAGTCAGCAGCAGTAGATAGAGAGGTACAACCAAGCCCCTTGCCCCAAAGTACAGCTAAAGAAGACTCAACGATAAACTCGTTAGCAGAAGCCACTACTCACCAACCAGCATCTCGAAGAGGAAAACTCCCACAGACCACCAGTCGCATTCCCGTCCATAATAGCCGTCACCCCCTTGGGACTTCAGCACTTCGGGCGATATGTAGTCGGGGGTGCCCACGGCCGTGTCGCAGCGCACCATACCTGTCTGTGCAACAGCAAGAATTCACACAGCTCCAGTCAAAAGGTTGCTGAGCCTTCCAACTATTCATCTTTTAGTAGATCACAAGAACATTTAAAAATAGCTCAAAATGCTTTCTTTGAGTAGTGTATTTGAAAGACTGTCTTCGCTCCAGAAGCAATACAGAGGGAAAAGACAATTCCTGGTAACGGGTTCTCTCTCCTACCTATCCCACAGCAGTTTTTCTTGATTATATCTTTCAAAAGTTGGCCAATCTTATTTTCACAATTGGTTTCACTATGAAGCTACACATCATAGTGGATTGCTCCTTATCTTACTGAATTCAGGGACAAACTTGAGAATAATGTTGACAAGCTACGAGTTCCAGGGCCTACAGAGCAGATATGTAACAGTTGTATCTAAATCAGACAATAAATCAAATTACAGGTAAACTTTTATAGTCACACTCTGATTTTTATATAAGGATTGGAAAATACAAAAGGAAAAACTATCCTTAAGGAATAGCAAAGCTTTTTTTATAAAACATTTTTTAATTAACATGGACACAGTTGTATTAATGGAATGATTCAGGTTCAGAGAATTCTTCATCCTCTTTGCTTCACACTGAGAGACTAAAAATGCACTGGCTACATGACGCAGAAGCATCATGAGACCTGCCAGCATGTTGGTTCAGACTTATAAGCCTTGTTTCCTTTAATCAAATTCACTGCATTCATTCCAGAAAGACCAGATGGAATGAAGTGAAATCCTGGATGAAGTTAGAGAAGTACCAAAAATACACTCATCTTCTATTCTGCTTCTCAACCTGAAATCTCTTCTAAGTCATCCTACAAAGTTCTTTCTTCATTTTGCCATCAGAATGAATGACAAAACATATTAACTCTAAATATTGATACAGAATATTAGTAGCAACAACTAAAGTAAAAATGCAAATATAAAGAAAGGAAGAGAAAGATTCTGCTTTGGAAATTGTATTGACATGTAAAAACCAAGATACCAAATTACAATATGTCTTTTCAGACAAAATATGAACTGCCAAAAGCTAACAAAGCATAAAAGAAATTATGTACTAAACCAGAACCCTGGAACACCATGAACTGATAGGCAAAAACTTAAGTGATGACTAAATACTGCAGAGACTTAAGGAGTACTTCAAAGCCCTCCTGGCAAATGCCTATCATCTTGTACAACTCCATGCTGAAGGTGAAACCTAAAGGACGTTTTAACTTCTCAGTTCCAGAAAGAACAGGTTCAATTCTGCCTTCTATGCTATGAAGCATAGAGCATATAGCTTGATCATCCTGCAATAAGAATATGAAGTAAACTCTTTTCAGAAGATCTAATGCATTCTTTGGACAAAGAAGAACACAGATGTACACATTTCAATACTGGGAAATAAACTAAAGCCCAAAGGCTCCAAAATCTAAAGCTGACAACATTTAAAAATGGACCTGGCACATGCCAGGAACCAATATTTGAAAATCTGCTTGTAACAAGACTCTTTTTCACAAACCTACAGTTCTTCTCTGAAGCTTAAGCCCCTTTGCTTTGAGCAACTGCTTTAGGCTCAATGTGATTCTGTTGATCTGTGTCATCTTAATGAGGCCTCCAATACTGGTGCAGGTCAAGCTCTTCCTTATCCAAATGTAAAATTACAACAAGCGAATGTCTGACTATTCACTCAGTGAAAGCTGGTTGAAGCCACCTGAATCCCTACCTGGGTAAGAAGCTTCTTTAAAAGCTGTCACCTAAATGGTTCTGGAAGATTTCTCCGAAGACCACAGCTTCAGTCACGGCCTCATCACGTCAACACCTAAGCACTTAATAACACCCCATTTCCAATTCCTCTATAATTAATACACGAAAACAAGAACACCTTTTAATGTGTTATGCATGCTTGTATTTTATTAAGTCTTCTGCAAATAAAGCAAAGGTTGTGCAAAAAAGCCAGCCGGCCCTGCCCAAGTCTGATGAGTGGCACATAGCAACAAGGAAAATTCTTTCCAGTGACATGCTGAAGAGCTCCAGGTTACAACGCTGTAAGTTTTCAGACAAGATGCCAAATAATTGAACAGTAAAACAAAAAACCACTTCTATAGCTAAAGGAGCCCTATGTGCTAACATTGGTTTTCAGTGGACTGTATCTCTCCGAAGCACATGGACTTGGTTGTACTTACTCCCCGTAAAACACTCTACCTTCTGTCTCAGGAACAAATTTTAAAAATGCATTCACAGAAGCACAGAATTGTTTGGGTTGGAAGTGACCTTAAAAGATCTTCTGGCCTAGCCTGTTGCAGAAAAGGGAGCCTAGATGAGTTTATCTAGCACCCTATTAGATCAATTCTTGAAAACCTCCAGCAATGTGGATTCTACCATGTCCCTGGGGAGCGTGGTCCATTATCACCTCAACATAATATTCCCAGATTTTTGTTCCTGATCTTTCAAAGAACTCAGGCATTGCTCTGTATGTATGTTCAAGTACCAGATACTCTTACTGCCACAGTCAGACCAGCTTCTATCATCTCTGGCATCAAAACCAAGTAAACGGGGAAGCCTTCTCTGCACAGTACATGGCATCTTCATAGTCCCTACATTCTATACCATGAGTTCTGCCTTCTGTACTTCAGTATTTGAAGAGATCTAAAGGGTACTGTTCTCTCTGGACAAAGTGCTACTGCTGTGTTTAGAGTACTATGCCTCCGGTTTATGCCCGAGTTCCACACTTTAACTAGAGCAGTCCTCATACAAAGCTTCCTTTCAGAAGTCTCCAGCCAGTGTTTTACCTGAGACTTTTGTCATCGCCTCAAAAGATCAGGGTGGATCCTGGATCTCATCTTCCGCAGCTATGTGAGAGATGCGCAGTGCAGAATTTTAAAAAGGCTGTCCAGGAGACAAAGCGTGTTCTTACAGCTTATGACAACTTAGCAGCAGGGCTGTAGTGATTCCAAGCGTCATTCGGAATTATTATATTGCTGAAGACAAAGCAGTTCAGTTTTCATCCTCGGGAGGACCTCCATCAGACCTTGCTGTCATGAACCAAGGCTGAGACTCAAGCTTTCACTCCCTCATGAACTTCTTTTTGGTAAACAAGAGCTGGAGAGCGCTCGTGTGGAAACATTAGGAGAGCTCAGATCAGGTGTTAACCCTGCACCCAGCCGTGTGCACTGTGCTGCAGACAATGAACTGAAGCAAGAAGGATCCTGCAGAGTCTTGGACAAGCTTCAATGAGAAATGAGTTCTAAGAAGAGGAACACTTTCCTTCTTTCAGCTAAACTGCCTGAGCTGAGGTGATAATGCCAAATAGTAAACATCCTTTCTTTCAGTCACATCTGTTTTTCACAGATAACCTCTAAACCTGTGCTCTTCTAAAAGCTCAGTTAGCACCAAACAGCATTATGTACTGAGGCTGGCAATACCAGCAGTTCCTGGCTCTATGGTACCTACCAAAGCCAACTACTACCTAGTTTCTTATAGAAAACCTGAAGATTTAAAGTTTAATGAAACCTGCCCTGGGATACCTTATATTTAAATATCAAAAAGGAATCACAATTCCTACTAAACCTTCAAGGCCAACTCCATCCTTTACTCAATGACAGAAATACTTTGTTGCATATTTTTTTTTTTTTAAAAAAACCAGAATAATTAAAAAAAACCCTATAAATTTCAAAAGCATCATAACTGAGTTACACAAGCAGGTCAGCTCATTTTATGCTGGAAAAGATCACTAGAAGACTTAGAAAGTGTTTTCACATGCTGGTAAGAAGAAATTCTGCTGCAATTGTCTGGACTGGCCTGGAAGGCTTTGAGAGGACACTGAATTCAAATGCACATCGAATGTTATAAAGGACTCTCAGCAAAATGCAGCAGAATTTTCCTGAGCTCTCAGCTTCATAAGGAAGATGCTAATGTGCACAACTGCTAAAAGAATTCGAAATAAAATGTAAAAAAAAAAAAGTATTGGGCAAGTATATATTTTCTAGAAATCATCCTGCCAACACCAGTATCATATTTACACAGCTGGGACATGTTCATGTTTTGTAAGAAGTAGCATGAGATTTGGAGACAATCCAGAACCTCTCAACTTCTAAAGCTTCCGGTATGAAAAATTTTTGCCATTCCACTGAGTCTGAGAAACATGAAGAACTTAAAATGTAATTTGTTAAGAAATTAACTTCTTTAGAAGATCACTGGTTCAGTGATGATGACCATTCCAAACTGGAGCTCACTGTATCTCTTCACAAGAAACGTGCATGCAGTCCTTGCACTCATAATAGGGTCAGTCACAGTTAAGTATTCCATTCTTTTAGGAACAACAATGAAAAAGAAAAAAGGGAAAAAAGGCTTAGGTTCACCATTTCTGGGATCCCAAAAATACCATAAAGGATCACTTTTTTTTTTTTGTAGATTTATATTTTGAACTTTTTGATGGCTTTTTAGGGTTTTTTGTTTGTTTATTTTTGTTTTGTTTTGTTTTGTTTTGTTTTTTTCTGATGAACATCTGATACTCTTAAGACCTACAGTCTATTGGCTCAAAAGCAAGATTATTTTTTTTAAGGACTAAATTAAGAAATCAAATACTACTTTTGATTTTTTCAATTAAAGTAAACGTTTTCCCCTAAAATAGAGGCAAGTAAATCATCAAAGTGGAGGCAAACAATCTATCTGCCTTTAGAATAACAACTACAACTCAGCAAAACTACTGAAACTTAATAAACAGCTATAATTGTTCAATCAAGTTAAAATACTGTCACAGGAACAAAAAAAAAAAAAACCCTAACCAGAGACAGTATTTCTAGATACAGATGAAGAGACATTAACTTAATCATGCAAAGACAAATTAAGTAAATCGCAGAAATTCTACCAAGCACTGCCTAAACAATACAGAAAAAAAACTCCAACACATTAAAGCAAGTAAGTTTAAAAGGATCATCCTTGCCAATATTAATACAGAAACCTTTCAAAGGCCAGGCAAATCATAACACACATTCAACCATTTTTTAAGAATCTTATAATTTTTTACGGGAAGAATATATGGTGTAAATTACAGCATAGCATTTGTTGTCAGGAAAGATTTTAAAAGTGCAAACTACACAAGGTTTTATTTTTAAGTCTCTTTTAAAAACACAAAGTATTATATCCTGTTAAAAATTAAATAAACAATCTCATTACAAAACTGTGTATTTGGCTGTACATGTTAAAATCTGAACAATTAAAATTTGTGACGTCTTGACAAATAGCTAACAAATTTCAATCAATATATCCCATACTACTGCTGCTTTACTGTGACCTCATTTTAATGACCACTAGAGGATGCTATGAGAACAATTAGACATATTAAAAAAAGAAACCCAAACACAGGGGCTATATCTTGCCTATAAAGTAATTTCATTTACAGAAAAATGTCCGTTTATGAACTGTTCCAAGGTTACTAATGTTGAAACTAGGAGTTTTCTCATAAGCTTTTCAGACGTTTGGCAAAAAAATGATCCTCAGAAATTCATAAACACATATGCTTTCAAAAATAACAGAAAAGTAAGTTTACATCCTACTTCTGTGTGCCAGAACAGTTTATTATAGACAAGGTTACACTATTTTAAGTACCCTTGTATTTAAAACTAGGAGACAAGGAACAGCTTTCCAACCAAGTGGACCATTTGACTAACATTCCTTTGAGTACTATAACTCATAAGAAAATAACCTTAGAATTATAGTTTTATAGATAATGAATTTTTTGGTTGCATACTTACTTCATCCATTTTCATGCAAGTGCCAAAATCTGCCAGCTTCAGATGCCCATATTTATCTAAAAGCATATTGTCAGGCTTCACATCCCTGTGTATCAAGCCCATGGAGTGAATTGCATCAAGAGCAAGAACAACTTCAGCTGTATAGAACTTGGCCCATTTCTCAGGCACATCGTAATTGCTCATAAGGTTTACAAGATCTCCACCTGGCATGTATTCCATTACCATGTACAAGTATTTGTCATCTTGAAAGGCACAAAATAGCTGCAGCAGTTTTAAAAAAGGAAAAAAAGAAAGCACAATTACATTTCAGAGACTGATAGGAAAAAGAATAAAGCACTTTACCCTGAAGTTTTGGTTTTTCACCCTGAACACATTTTCAAGACTGATGTAAAGTAACTTTATTTTTTATATTCAGATAATCCACATTTTCTATTAATTAGGATGATACCTTGAAGTTTACTTGAACTTCAAACCCCTCTTATTTTCAGATCTAGAGAAAGTGATTTTGATTATTTGAGTAGTATGAGCTTCTACATATCCATGTTTCTTGTCATTAACTACCACCAAGTCAAAATGCAAAAGATCAGAGGAAGAAAGCATCATGTACTGATTTGAAAATAGCTCAACAGTAAACAGCATCATAGATTGTTTCTACATATTGTACATTATAAATCTCCTTCTCTCTGTAAGTACTTACAAAACAGTTGCCATTACTGATTTTGTCCTAAATCAACAGATATATTGAAGTAAGAAAGAAAAACAAATGTTCCTGAAGATAACTATTACATAATACATAGGAATTATCCTTAACAATTAAGCATTTGTCTAGTATAGGTTGCAGCTAGTATGTTTCCTGTTGGCATGATAGTGAAAGTAAGGTCAGTCTCCTTAAAATGTTTTTCAGATGTAGAGTGCTGAAGCTACAGGGATTTCATCCAGGTCTGAAAATGGCCCAAATCAGAAAGAAGCATTACTAACACACATTAAGTGGCTTGTATGACAAAGTCTCTCACCTTGTTCTCAGGGAATACTGCTTATTTATGTTAAAAACTAAAATAAGTCACACATTTAAGGTACCCACACAAAATTCAAAGGCAGATGAAGAAGAGGATGTGTGGAAAGGAGGAAATAAAAAGCAGGGAGTTTGTGGGAGATGGGGAACAATGAAAGGCAAGAATATTATTGAGATTTTAGATTAAAATTCCTTATATATTAGTGACAGAAGACCTATATTGTAAACACTTATTTTAATGCATATATATTGCACTGTATTTGTTTTCACAAATGGACACCATATACAATATATTTGATGATAATGTGGTTGGTCATTAAAATCTAAATTAAAACCTAAAATAGTCTCCATATGCTTACATGTAAAGATATATTAATATAACACAATAATAAATAACAAGATTATGCCTTTATACAACACTTTCATTTTTGCCCTCAAGGGATTTCATTTAAAAAAAGAAAAAACAAAATTTGCTAGGGTTCTGTATTCACTTGTTTCTCACATAAAAAAGCACAGGGAAGCAGTGCAATCTGCCCTAGTTTCCAGCTCTGAACAGGACCTACATTTACTAGCTTGAGGTCCTATCCCACTGGACAATACTACCTAAATATATCACACTAATACAATTCAACAAAGAAGGCACAATTGCAGCTACACTTGAATTAATTTGCTGTGTACAAACACATACACATTTATATCATACTTGCTTCACTCACTCTCTTTTAAAAACTGAGTGTCATGTTATTTCTTGTTACTTTCAACTGTGTGTGAAAAATAAAAAGAATTTCAGACAACTACTGTCATTAGAAGTGAAACAACGAACTAAATAAAAACTCATCTATTTGGTTAGAGTATTTCTGCTAAACATAGGCAAGAACATAGAATGCACTCAGAAGAGCAAAGCATCTAAATAAAAAAAACTTGTAAAACATATATTGCATACAGAGGTAAAACATTATGAAGAATATACGGAAAGCTTAAGGCCAGACTTTACTTATTAAATATACAGAAGCATGGCAATATATGTGAGAGCATTTAGATGTATTAATTATTTAACAAAATTAAGTGCTAACAACTTCTCTAAGCATATGCTTTCACTACTCATTTTATTAATTGGTGTAATTTACCAGTTACAACAAATTGCAACATTCAGTACTAATTCCTCCCAAAGGCCTAATTCATACTACAAACATGATGATGATAAATGTCATGAGACAGCTGCAAGCAACACTGTTCTAGACCAGCTGGAGAAGTCAACTCTCTATTGCTTGGATATTACTTCTGAGCTGAGATGCAGTAACTGACCACTAAACAGAAGATGGTTTCGAGCACACCACTGCTACAGCCTTGTGTCTTGCAGGAGATCAGGAGTATGCACTCATCCATCTAACAAATCACACTGAAAAGACAGTAACTACTTAAAGCACTCTTCGTACCAATTGCCTGTCACCACCTGACTGTATCACGAGGAAGGACTGGAAAGAACATTGACATTTGCTTCTACATTTCTACACAGAATTTGTCTCACTTGGAAAGGTAACCTCCCTATTATTGCTAAGAATCATGTGGACATTTCAAAAATCCATTTAATTCTGTTTTACGATGCATTTGTAGTGACTAAAATGTAAATTAATCTACTTTCTAACACAGCCAAATACACAAAACTCAGTGAAATTCCTATAAATATGTATCCTTAAGAAGTAAAATCTGAACCTAAGCCATGATTTGAGTTTAGATGCAAATTCAAAACCAGCTCAAGACTGGGAAAGAATTATGTCCTTATTATTTTTACTTTACTCTTACATATCTTCCATACCTGAACCACCCACGGACTGTTGGCGAAGGCCATGATATCTCTTTCTTCCCAGAAAAAGGCTGAATCTGATCTCTTGATCATTTCAAATTTACTAAGTAGCTTCATTGCATAAACCTTCTGTGTCATTTTATGGCGAACCTGTTGGTTGAGAAAGAAAAGTTTACAAATTCCTTGTAGAAAACTTGAATACCAGCATAGTGTACTTCTCTTTTGTGCAAACTGCTTTCTCAGAGGTATTGCCTACAGGTCTTCATATACCAAATTTTCTACACAGTAAGGATTTGAGAACTTCCAAAACTTGAAAGGAAGACCTAGCAGCTGCTCCAAAAAAACGCAGCAGGGGTGGAACAAGAAGGATGCCCAATGAAGGAAGTCATGCCAGAGCCTGGCCAACTGCTGCAGCTGCCACTGCAACCCCAGAAGAGGAGCTGCAAGGCCACAAGAAGAGGACATGCCTCAGCACAGCGGGAGCTCTTAGGAGGTGCCTGTTTTATTGGAGATGAACTGATACAAGCACACGATCCTCCCCACTATGGCTCTGAGTATAAAAATGAGAGCTGTCTTCAGTAGTCTGCTTATTCAAATTGAAACTGCTAAAAAGCCCCAATCAAACCCAAAAATTCCAAGCCAAAACTCAGAATGAGAAAAGTGACATCTTTCCCTGAAGAACTGCACTTAACGTTTTCTGAGTGGACATGTCTACCTCACATCAAAAAGATGGAATAGTTCTGTTTACAGATGAAAAATAAAATTCTTGTCTGTTCAAAAGTTCCATTATGTAATGAGAAATTAAATGTAACTGCTTACATTTTCTTACTGTGAACACCATCTATCCATTGCATACATTCACGTCAGAAATTCTGCAAGCAGTTCACTTCAGTCTCTTCCAACTTTTATTTTGCACAAAAAAGGATTACACACATTTATTTTCTTAAGTAGTTCTTAAATTCACATTTAACAGTGTAAAACTAATAACATAAATCTTACTGGAAAATTGAAATTAAAACTTTTATGACAAAAATCTGAAAATATTTTTGAAAACTTCACCTGAATACAGACATGAAACAAAAGTCTTAAAGTACAGACTGTAAAGTCATTACTCTGTTAATGAAACAACATTAGATTTATGCTACTTAATGAAACAGCTACTAAAGGGCCAGCTTTTTACCATTCCTAAGTGGTCTTTGCAGAAAGTAAGGTGAGAACTGTTCAGTGGTAATATGTCTGAATCAGCAGAAAAAAAGACATTAACTGCACCTTAAGTTTCTGCATATTTTCTTTGAGTTAAAAATAAAAAATTCAATGGACTAATTTGTGAAATCAGAACCAAATGGTTACGATTTTCTGGTGTATTTTAAAACTTCATATTTAGTAAAATAAGCCCTTAGTTTTATAGTGTCCAAGTTTAATTACAACAGTTGAAAGCATGTTTAAGTGGCTCTTTTCCTGAACACGTGTAAATGTTCTAGGTCCATTACATCTGCAGTGCAAAGCTTCTGAGAGGCACCTAATTGGTCTACAAATCTGGGAGCATCAGCCTTCTGCTCCTGAGGAGCTGTAAACATTGATGTTGCTGAAATAAAATGATCTCTACAAACAGGAGAAGCATCAGGTGTGTGTGTCAGGAGGTATCTTGGAAAAGGTGAAAAGATGAACAGGATTATTTATGAACTTACTGTTCTTGAAATTGGAGCTTTTTCTCTTGAGATATAGGTACAAAAAAGCTCTAGGATTAGTATTTTGCATAGTACGTCACTGAACAACAGCCTTCTGTATAGCAGAAAACTTCCAACCAAATATCAAACCAGACACATGTTAATGTATGTAGATAATAGGTCTATAAACATGCATATTTTAAGACATTAACAACCAGCTAGTGAAGGTGTCCTAAAAAAAGGATTTTGAAAACTCCTTCCCATTTTACTAATCCCATCTGGGATTATTTGCAAAGATTTGGTGGTACACCACAAGCTGTACTCCACAAAGTAGAGATTTTGTAATCCTGCTCAAAACCAGAAGAAACACAAAGATCAGCAACCTCAAAAAGATACTGTTCAACTGAAGATGAGTTTTCTCTGAAAGTTTGTGTAAAGCCCTGCAATGTATTTGGCAGTTTACAATTCCTATAATAATTGTGTACTACTGCTTGGGTGTAGTTAGCTACTTTCATTTCCAAGAATAGTGGTCTCTACTCTTGGAGAAAAAAATCTCAAAAAGTCAACACAGCCTGAAGCAAGCTCATGCACAGGAGAAGCAAAGTAAACAGGGTAGGGGGACCAGAAACCACAGTCTGTGCACCGCTCTAAGGCAGTGCCAAAAGGTTACTAGCTGACTAAATTATTTCTTCATAAAATTTCAAGATAGGTTCATCCTCTGTACAAAAATCAAGAAACCAAAGCACCAACTCTCATGCTGGCACACCCAAAGACTGAGTGTGTCTTGTCATGCCTTACAGGTGAACAGACCTACTGGTGATACTGCTCCTCCTATCACCACCCACCATAGCCCCTGGAGACAGTCTGTTCAGCTGCTAGCGACTGTGCTCTTTACCCAGAGCTATATTTGTACATACATATATTGGCTCATATAGCAGATTATTCATGTATTAAACTGTCATGATGTTTCAATTTCTTCCAGCTGTTTACACAATCTGCCAAATTTAAAATGCAGCTCACCAGAATATCTCTCAAAATAGGTAGGAAAATCCCTTCGTGCCATCAACATTGAGCAATGTGGCCTCGTTTAACTTACGAAAATGCATTAAGAAATAAGGTTTTCCCTCTAATGCTGCCTCGTTAACCTAAGCCTTTCAAGAAAAAAGTACGCACAAAATACATCCATAATTTCTACAGAAATTACACCAGAAGATAATCTGCAAGCAAAGAAAATAACATATCCAGTTGAACTTACCAGATTGAATACATAGTATTGATAATGGTACCACCTCCTTTACGATAAAAGAAAATTAAGATTCTAGAGTGGAGTTGTGAAATGAACTTTAAGGTTTGAAATGATAACCAATATCCTAAAATACTTCAAAGAGTTGTAGGAAATTATAACAGGTGGGGTACCCAAGTTCATGTCCTGACCACTTTTCAGGTAATAAACCACGAATGCGCTATTTGCTTTACTACAGAGATGTACATTAGCCATGGTTGGGTGACTAAACCTAATAAACGAAGCACTCAATGGAAAAACTAAACTAGCACCTGTTTACCTAGGCCATGACAACAGAAGGTTTGCAACACTAAGAACTGTCAGAGAGACACTAAGACTAAAGACTGTCACCCAGACCATCCTTTACTATCCAAGAAAGAGTTATCCTGGCTTTAGTTTTCTCTTCCAGCACATGACCCTCCCAGCCTGCTGTGTCACTGCAATGTTACAGTGCTTCATGATCAGATCTGGGAGAAGGAACTGAGGATCTGTTTCAATTTCAAATCAGGAGAATTTTCCTCAAGAGAAAACAAACAAGAGGTACTCAGGAAGTGCTTTCATAAATTACTGCTTCTGCATAAACCACAAGTAACATATTAAGGACCATAATTCAATTTCTCTGTCTGCCCCAGACACCAGCCACTTGCACTCAGAGCACTGCATGCGAGGAGACGAGGCAATCTGGCAGCTGGCAATTCTTTCCTTTGCTTCCCCAGCACGACAGACCCAGCAAAGCCAGAGGCCAGAGCTCAAGAGTGAGTTTAATACTTCTGGAGTTATACGGAAATTGTTTTTCCACCAAAGTCAGATGCCTAGACCAGAGTCATCTGATCTCTCTTTACTGGACTAATTTTTTAAATTTTGGCAGGGAGAGGAAAGGGGAAAAAGAGGCATTAAAAAAAAAATCTAGCTGTAAGATACAATAGTGGAGAATGTGTTTTCTTTTCCTGCTAGAATCTGAAACGCTGATCTCTCCACACTTCTTTCACAAGAAAATGCTATACTGGAGCAGAAAGCTTGGGGGAAAAAAATTAAATCAAGGAGGTCATAGCTGACTATTTTATGCTGTATATTAAGCTACTCATTTTTTGGCTTGTTACATTTAACTAATAAAAAACATTTAACAAATATTTGTGCTACAAATATTTATGTACAACAGCACACTGATAACACGGCATTCATGAATTTAACCCCTGTATTTAATCATATTTTATTTATAGTTCTGTGTTTAGCCCCCACTGAAGCAAATTTCTATTTTGATCACAATGTGTTGCAAAACATTTTGATTACTGCAAATCCATCATCTGCAACTGTGGTGTTAACATTCTGAATGGAATAGAAATAGATATAGCTTAGCTCAATAGTTTAAACTTGTATCATACCTTGTGAGGCAAAAAATGCATGTATGCCCTCATCACCAGCTAATGTTAGTTCAGCTCTACAGTTATGTTTATTAACCCACTGCTTTTTAGCTGTAAGACTGCATAACATTATGTTTTCTACTTATATTTTTACATTCCAGAAAAAGAACATTCTTTTAAATTGGCATGAAGTACAGAAGAGCTCTACATGAACACACAGAGATCTCTTCCAGTACCAAGCATTCTTTTTTTTTTTTCATTTTGGAGCTTGAAGGGCTTATTTAAAGAATAAAAAAAAAAAACCATAACAACAACAACAAAAAGCCCAAACCCCATCATTATATGACCAAGTTACTATGCATTTTACCATTACATTGTGAGGCAAATAGGTAAAGTTTGTCTTCAGATCCCTCAAACTACCTAATTGTGGTAGGTAAACTCTGTGTATGACACAATGAATTAAGAAAAAAGTTTCCATTCTAAACCAGACAAAAGTAAGAACTTATATTTCTAATTAAATTTTAAAAAGAAAATGAAAATTATTTCGAAAAACCCTTAAGTTCTTAGAAATGCACATATGAAAATAATGTATTTTGATTTTTGAAGTACATTAAAAATACAATTCTCTTGGATGCTTCCAGCAAATATATCAGTGTGACAGCCAAAAAATGCACATGACTTCTTTTATTGGGATCTTCTCTTTGTCATCTTCCCCCTTCCCAACAAATGACGAACTCTACTCCTTAGAACTTGACTCTTCACTGACTTCCCATGCAAGTGCATGAAAAAGGAGTAGCTCTATTAGCTGAATTAAATACATATATTTGTAATGCTAAAAATGCCTAAAAGAAGACTTGAAAACAAACCATTTGATGTGATTGTCAGTGAAAGGACAGACTAGGCTACTTTCTTACAAAGCTCCCTGCAGCAGCCTCTTCTCAAGTAAGCAGGGTTCTGCTGAAGGTCTGGGGCTTGTTTTTAATTTCTTGCCAGCAAGGACATAAAAACATACTAAGATACATTTTAGTTCTTTGGAGAACTAAAGTATGGGCTTGAAAACAGGAATCTTTGGACATACTCCTCTCCATGCTTCATAAATTCTTCTGGACAAAACCAAAATGCAAATGACCCAGAAAGAAATAGGGAAGCAGGAGCTACAGTCTCACGTTGTTACATGTGGATGATGTTGCCATAAAAAATTACATAAATTAATAAAAATTTCTGATTAAATCTTGTTAATTGCCACATATAAATTTGCAAATTACCCATAAGTCATGCAAATAGAGTTAGGGCACTCAGAGGGTTTGCTTCCCTCAGTTCCAACCAATTCCACCAATACTAATATGGAAAATATAAGTAATTTTAGAAACAGGTAACACATTTATTGCCATGACACACTGTGTATCTCCTACAAGCACTTCAGAGCTAAGAACTTGTCGCATTCCTCAATAAAACTCCAAAACATCTTTGCATTTTCCAAAACTGCTTTTACATTACAGGACAAAATAATTTTCCCAGCTTCCTAGTGCAAAATTAGCACAGAACAATAAAATGTCAGTTCCATGTCACAAGGCATAAGCAAACGGGTAATTTTTGTTATCTTGTGGCAAGCTTCACTTGTTGCAACTTAGCTGACTCCCTAACCATGGACTTGCTTCAGGTCTCTCTTCTCTAAAAATGCTGACACAGAAATTATCCTGCATCAGCTGCTGCACAGCTGCCTGGTAACTCAAGGCAACTTGCCCCTGATGGTTTTATTCTCAGAATCGTTTTTAGTGCTTACGTCCATAGCTTATTTCAAAACTGACATATCAATCCATCTTATACATATGCTCACATTTTGGTGCTATTTACCACACAGTGTGCCTTGGAAGTTCAGGGGGAAAAAAAAAATTAAATGAAAAGCAGATTATGCATGATAATACTGCTACTTTTTGTATTTTGATTGTTTGCTGTTTGTTTGGTTTGTTGTTTGGTTTTTTTAAAATATCATTTCACTGCAATATAGTGTAGAAAGTAATCATGTTCTTATATTAGATATTATACAGGATGCAAATTTCAGTGGACAATGTTAAGAAGGCTCTTAAAAATATCTTAAAAATGAGTCATATCAGTCAAATGCAATGCAAGCATCACAATTATAGGAGCAATATAAATATTTTTTGCTGCAGTATCAGCTTGCTCTTCCATACAAAGGTTTCATTATGAAACACTAATGCTTGTGGAAAAAAAAAATAATTTAGAATTACCACAAACTGCCTTTTCCATTTTGATCAAAGGACAGCAAACTTTCTCAAGTCTTTCCAATTGATCATGTTTTATACTCAGGCGTACTGTTCACTATGCACAGACCTCACTGTACAATGGAAAAAACACTCCTTGTAAGAATGCATTTTTAGATATAAAGCATGCAAGACTGGGGAAGGTTTTGGCTAGAGCCATAAATGTGTCTAATCATTAGATCATTACATTCTTACCAGCTGCACTTCTCCAAAAGCCCCTCTTCCAATCACCTTAACAACATCATAGTCTTCAGCTTTCATTTGTAAAGCTCGGATTTTTTCCACAATCTTCTCATCTAAAGCAAATCAAATAAAAGTTGTTATAACGCATATATTAACACAATACAAGCATTTTCTCTAGCATTTTTTATTTAGAGTCAAAATAAGCTATTTTTATTCAAATATTTAGAGCCTTCTTGGTAATTCTTGGAATCTGCAGTCACTGTTAACATCACCTTTCATCAATGTTTGGAAACCATTAAACATTTACCTTTAGCGGTTAACAACTGAAACATCTTTTAGATTTTGCAGACTCTCATTTCATATTTCTAATAATTGTTCATAAGCTTATAGGAAGACTCTGGTAAGGAAAAGTCCCAGAGATACCCACCTTCAATTTTCAGACAATTATTCACAGAATCACAGAATAATAGAATCATTAAACTTGGAAACACCTCTAAGATCATCAAGCCCAACCATCATCCCACACTATCATGACCATTAAACCATGACTCAAACTGCCACACCTACATGTTTTTTGAACCCCTTCAGGGATGGTGGCTCCACCACCCCCCTGGGCAGCCCGTTCCAGTGCCTCACACTCACTGCTGCCTGCAGTGCTGCCAGGGTCACCGACACCCCACTGACAAGGCAGGAGTGTGAAGCACAGGGTGCCCACAGCAGCACTGCAGGGGCAGCCTGCTCCTACACACCAGAGGGGTTCAGCAGCAGTCACCAGGCC